ACACTAACCGTTACTACTCTAGCATTGGCTAGGAACTTCTGTCTTTATCAGGAGTCCTCTACTAGAGTATCCATCATGAGGACGGATGACGAACCCACAAGTAAGTAGTAACAAAGATAACTTTTACTTAAGGGATCAAAACCAAGAGATGAACACAAGCGTCTTACTCCAAGTAGCATGACATTTGTAGAGGTACAAGTGTAGAGGGGGCCAACAAGTCCGGCACTCCGTCCACCCGATGTACAAGGCTCGCCGAGTACAAGAAGTAGAGGGCACCGCTACTCTGCTACTCCTCTAACTATTTCCCTCTCTCACTCCCAAACTAGTCTAGCTAGAAGCTAATGGAATGAGTGTAGCCCTTCTTCTTGTTCTCCAAATGTGTATGATGATTTTGAATGTGAGGAGGGGGCTCCTTTTATAGCTTGAGTATGATGGTTTGGTGAGGTATTCTTGGTAAGCACCCATGCAATGGTCCATGGGGTCATTAATTGCTTTGCGTCCTAAAGAGTGGGTCTGATAGGAGTCAAGGGGGTGCGGCTGCACCCAGGGTGCGCCTGCACCCTAGCTGGTGCCTCCGTGCACCGCCTTCACCAGGTGGGCTCCTAGGTGGACCTGGATCTATACCACACTGGTGTTCTGGCCCAGAATCAAAGTTTGGTTGGGCTTTGCTAATGTTTTGCTTGAATGCGCCTTCTCAGTTGCGCATTTTAGTGTGTTTTCACATGATACCCTGCAAAACATGTATGTACCAAAACTCGTGGAGAATGTTAGTTAAAAACCCTAATTTTAAGTTTTGGTATTCATATTTGTTTTATTTTGTTTAAATATTGGCGGTAGAAATATGAGTTAAGCACCGACAACACGTCTTCCTCCGCGTACCTTGGTTATGCTTCGTCGTTGGCACAGCTATCTTGTCATCATGGTCACGGAACTGGTACGGCCGGCATTGACGAAGGGTACCAGATCCGGCTCCGGCTAGGGTTCAGATCTAGCTGGTCATGATAGGTGCCAAAGTAGGGGATCTAGATCTGGCCTATACTGTCGTCGAGGTGGTCCTTCCACCATCAGTTGACCTACTATCGACGATTTGAAGGGGATCTAGATCTGGCTAGGGATCAGAAAGCTATGAGAGAGGGTGCGACTGGAGAGTGGCGATTGATGAGTCGAGCTGCTGTGCCGATGGCGCCTAGGGTCCGAAGAGGGGTGGCAGAGGGAGCAGCTGGAGAGTGGAGAGGAAGGCCATAGGGCTAGGATTTGGAGCGGGAGTAGAGATGGTGGCGGCTAGAGAATGGAGATGGAGGTGGAGATGGTGACTCCTTGCGCTTTTATATGGCCATCACAGTACCATGAATGCCCTTGTCTGAAATCGATGGCATGGTAAATCTAATTTTCGAGCAGAGGGCAAAAGAGAGACATCTAATTTTTGGTGCGTATTGGCGGTACTACTCAGCGCGGTGCGAAATTTTTGCCGAAAATCAAATTTTCACGTGGGCAGATCTCCCCATCAGTTCGGGGCCCACCAACACTGTAAAATGGAATCCTAAGAAATGGACAAAAGAAACTCAAAAACTAGCTCCTTTAGAATGGTGGAGAAACAGGAATTTTGAAGGGTCCAAATCCTATTGGAAAAAATCTTATGAAGTCCTTTGGACTGGTAGCTCCGACAGGAACCCCGACTCCACCGCACGCAAGTCCGCATCTGAATGGAGGTGGGCGGTGGCTAGGGATGATGTAGCCCCATGGAGAACGCCAGGTGTCACTACCTCTCGAATCCACGCCCGCAGAGCACGGACATGCTCAAGGAAGTTTGGCCCCACCGACAGCACGGACACGGCGTTCAGCTACTCCATGATGGCTGAAAGAGCAAGAGCAAAGAAAACCCTACCGATTAATAGGATTTTGGGTTTGCATCTCCCAACTTTGAGGTTACGGTTCCTAGCCCACTCTAAGACCAATCTTATTAGGGTTTTATGAGAGTTTCATGAACATTAAGCAAGCTATGAACTTAGCAAATATATTAACATGACATAAAATTAATGAAGAGAAAGTTTCATAAAAGTAAAATGTGTTCCATGGGAACGAAACAGTTTATTACACTGTTTTCAATACATATAAGTCTTGTAAGTTGGGACACAAATTTGAGGACCGAGCTTGGCTCGGTTGGCTAGCTGCACCGGGGTGCGAGCAGCCCACCCGAGTTCGATCCCTGATCGACTCGCGTGCCTCACTGTTGCCCGGGATTTTCACGGGATTTCTGCCTCTTGCGCGTGATGCTACAATGGGATCGTGACGTGCCCGTCGCCTACGAAATCAGTGGATTTCGGTGATCTCAAAAAGGACGCGGTCTTCAGATCTTGGTGTAGTTATATGTTTGTTTGTACACGGGTGGTGTGAGTTGTGTGCGTGTGTTGAGTGGGCGTGCGTGTGTACGAACAGATGCTACAGCTGTACCAAGATGAGAGACAATAAAAAAAAAAAGTTGGGACACAAATTTGGACGCGTTTGGTTCTTTTGCCCAGGCTCATCCAGCCTTGTCGAGTGACGATGGTAGGTTAGTGAATGAGTTTGATTGGCTTGCTAGCTAGTATTTCGGTTTTCGTGCAAGCAACAATATCTCCTATCAGATTTCCTTGCCATGCTGAAAGGACGGATTTGGCTCGCTGGCCTTGGCAAGCTTCTCAGGGCTCATGCGGCTGAGCAAGGCAAAACTTGCCTAATAACCAAACGTGTCCGAAACCTCCTCCAATAAGACTAGCCTAAATCAGAGTCCAGAAACTCTTCTTCATCTTGGACCACAAATCCAATTCTTCAGCAGCTGTTTTCCTTTGCAATGTCTAGAAGTAGGATGACCCGTGGGGGAATAGGCTCACACTGCACTCACGGATAGGGATGAAAACGGAACGGAAATATTCCGAATCGAACCGCGTCGTTTTCTATATTTGATCCGATCAAATTCGCATTTTCGAACAAATTCGAATTCTGTTCAAAATTTGGAACACCAAATTCAAAATCGAAACAAAAACAGTTTAGACATTTTTCAACCGTTTTCTACTTTTCTACATTTAATTTGGAATATCCCGTTTTTTCGGTTCAAACCAAATTGACCCACTACACACAGGCTGCGTGCTTTCTACCGGTGGCCAGATACCCTCTCATATAGGCGGCGCCCAACCTCATCACGCTTCACCTCGCGAGGTGGTACTAAACGTCTAAATGGCAGCAAGCCAGCAGCAATCTTCTCCGCTTCCCTTCTTCTCGACTTACATAGCCCAATCTGTAGCCCAACCCAATGAAAAACCCTACTCTCCACTCCCGTCTCCTCCTTGCCTCCTTGGTTCTGTCCCTAGCGGCGCTCTGCTCCCTAATCCCTCTCGTATCCACGCGACCGCGCCTCTGACCCTACAACGGCAGCGCCTCCAGTCCGACCCCGCCGGCCGTCTGCGTCCCCACTCCCCACTCCGCCAGAGCCGTCGGCCGTCACCCATTGTTCTAGCCACAAGCCAGCGCCGCGTCCGCCGGCCACACCGCCGCATCGCCACCCTGCCCGTAGATGGCGCCCACTGGAGAAGGTGGTTCTTCTCCTGGAACAAAGGGCAAGGGCAAAACCAAGACCAAGAGGACTTCGAGGAGGACAATGAGGAAGCAAAAGACATGGAAAGTGATCCTGACATCATGGATCATGCTGATGACCGTAGATGTTCTGCTAGTTGTTAGTGTAATAGTGTTAATTGCTTGTTCTAGACTTGTATTTGGTGTCGGCTATTGTGTTAATACTTAAGACCAAGGGTCATTAATTATTATATGCACTTGAACTTGATCATGCAGTTGGTAATTGTTGTCCCTAGGCATGCATTTGTTAATTGTTATGGACTTGGTCTTACGGGTCGGTATTCTATATTTCGTATTGAATTTTTGTATACCGACCGTGTTCGACATAATTCCGCTCGAATTGATTCGTTTTCGAAATCTCGATATTGCGTAAGTTCGTGTTCGTTTTAGTGTCCGGATTTACCGTTTTCGCTTTGGTTTTCGTATTCAAATGTAAAAGTAGAAAACGGTTGAGGGGTTTTCCCCGTTTTTATCCCAACTCACAGAGCTGTTTGGCAGTGGTAGCAAGTCTGAAATTTAATCGTACGTAGGGTGGCTATGGGGATTTTATTCCCTACACGCTTTTTGTGCCATCTCAATAAAATCCAACATTGTAATAAAAAAAAGTTTCGAAGTGTCTTGGTCTAGGCCGTCCGTTTTGGTTGGATAGCATAATTGGGCAATCGTCCGCGAGGGAAGTTGAGAGTGCGTGTAAGACGTATGTGCCAAAGCTAAGATCCTCCTAGCTTTCATAGTCAAGAGTGAAAATTCCTTTGATTCCACCATCCTACACCTCTTTTGACTAAATAATGGCACTCTCCCCGTCATGCTGACTAACAATGGCACTTTCCGAAACAGTGAAAAGGATCTAGCCACTGGGAATGGTCTTAGCAGAGAATGCCTCCCGATTAGCTCCTTGCACAAGATTACCATATTCATTGCAACTAGGCCCCTACAGCATCATTACGCCAACAAACCAACGGCAAATAAAAATAGGTAGTGCTGAATTTGCAGTGGTGGATTTGAGACTCAACATGTTCCTGGAACACATAATAAATTTGTAGCTGTTTTGCATCTGCTCTCGGCTGCAGAGAGCACTACCAAATGGTGATTATAGTTTCACAGGCATCAGCATTAGAAATAAATTGTATGCTCAGTACAAGACAAAAGGCACCGAGGCCTACGAAGTGGAATGTATAGGTAGGCTTGGCCCAAACCACAGTTGCCCCGACACGCTAACGTGTGTCGGAAGAGCATGCAACATCACCAGTTCAATGACGGGAAGTAATTTAGCCGTAGTTTCTTCAGAGCAACCAATGCGAGTCAGCGGGTACCCCCAGAGAGGAAGGGACCCGGAATAGCAGCAGGATCCAGCTCGTAGAAGCTACAGAGCTCGCCACCCTTCTCTCTTGTCAGATGGAGAGTATCCGGTGAGAAAACCGCAAGTCATCTTTTGCTGGCACCTCCAGAATACTCCTCTCATTGTCTGGCTTGAATACAGTTCTGTAGCCATCTACCTGAGTCAGAAATAAAACTTTCGTGCTAGCTTCAGTGCGCGCAGTTATCTCGCCAATGGCATATTCGCAAGCATCCTTGCTGGAAGGAACCCAGCCAGGTGACCAATTGTGGTAGATCGCCCAAATCTCCCCTACTTCTGGGTGGATTGCAAAGTGCCGCTTCGAACCAACTTGTGTTTCTACTACATGAGAGAACGAGTCATTTGTGTCATACTTGATCCTCCAGTTCTTGATTCTAAATGTCCCACAGCTCACAGGTAACTCATGCTCTAACCACGTATTCTCCTGCTCTGATCGAGGGCAAGCTTCCAGCCAAGTCAGGTGCACTCCAAATGGATCTAAATCAACTTTTGTAACCCAACCATAGTACTTGGGGAGGCCATCAAAATCATTGTAAAGAGCCCATATCTGTCCTCGTTCAAACTTATTATATGACCGACCTTCTTCAAAGTTGTAGAACACTGTTTCTGGATATGTGAAAACAGTGGGGGAGGGACAGCCTTGCGGAGCAGAATAACCAGACATGCTAGCAAGGCAGGCATTATGCTGCTGAGGAGTTTGAAGGGAATGTTTTCTCCACTTCCCTACATTTCTATGAATTCCCTTTTGAGCGCTTCGTTCATTTCCACGGCCAGGTGTAGTGTTGCCAGTCAAATCAACAAACCCACTGCTCATTGTTTTGTTGATAGGCACACATGAATCAAGAGTAACTGGTGGAAATGCTACGTCCAGGTTACTAGGAAGGGATACGGTATCTAGTTCAAGAAACCCACAAGGGACACCAACCTTCTCATTTCCCACTGTTCTGAAAAATGGGACACTGGGAAAACCGAAGTAGTTCACTTGATGATATAACAAATGATGATTTGTCCTTTGCTGGTGCAAACAGACTCACAAAACCTTTAACCTTGACCAAGGGGATAATAGTGACACCAGCTTCCATTGTGAAGTTTGAAAGGACCTCCACCACTTCATACTCATAGGATCTATGATTGTCTGCATCTGAGACCCACTGCATACTCCAGCCCTTATAAAGAGCCCAAACCTCACCTTTATTTGGATATATTACATAAGAACCCCTTTTTCTTCCTTTAGCCCATGAAACAATGTGAGAAAACATGAGGGGATCTTGTGACTCCTCTGTGTTTCCTAATGTAAAGTTCCCACAAGCCACAGGAAGATTATTATCAGTCCATGTTTCCTCATCATCATTCACTGCAGAATGCTCCAGCCAAGTGTACTTAACTCTGAAGTTGGTGGTATTAAGATGTCTTATTCTAGCATAAAATCTTGGCATGGCATCGAAGTCATCATAAAGTGCCCATATCTGATCAACTGCAAACAGTTTGACATCTCTGCACTTATCGAAGTCAAAAAATTCTGGGTCAGGGTACGTGATGCTCCCAGTATTGCAAGGCTTCTCAGCAGGTGGATCACAAGTTTTTTTATTATTTCTTTTATTGTCTTCTTTGACAGTACCACTTCTATCTTGATTATCTGTTTTGCTAGACACATGAGGTTCACTAACTTGTCCATCAGCATGGGCAACATTATCATCAACCACTTTATTAGAACTGGAGGCAGCATTTGAGAACCAATCTTTGAGTGTCCGACTCTTTTTCTTTGGAGAATTCAGGATGTTGTTGGCGTCAACACAAGCCTTTCTCCTAGAAGATCTCCGTGGACTAGGGATTCCTGCAGCACCTGGCTCTGCTGATGTATCCACCCCACCACCTAGGTTTTTCCTGTCACCAAAATCTGGTACAGTAAGTCAGTTTGCATCCTACCATCTGCCCCATCATTTCCATTTGGTGCAGATGCTTTAGAAGAATTGTTTGCAGAAAATTCAACTCCTTTTGTCACAGGCCCCTCTTTGTTCTCTCTAGAAAAGATATTTGTAGAACAGCCTTGTTGAGTGGGAACACAGCCTTGTTGCCCAGCACTATTTGCTGTTTTTGATGAGAATGCAGAAGGCACATCCTCTGTACTTATCTGGTGTGCAAAGAAATTTTGCATGCAGTTCTGACAGCGGATCTGACGATTGAGTATGTCGCCATGGTACTTATATTTTGTTTTACACTGGATGCATATGGTCCCAAATGTCCACCCATCGGTGGGTGTTGAACCTGATGGCCCATATCCTGCTGTATTACTTCTATTTGCGTCATTTTTGTTAATTGGCTCTGTAGTCCTCATTGGTTGTGTAGCCTGCTTTGGCTGTGCAGCCTGCTTTGGTTTAGCAGCATGCTTTGGTTTTGCAGCCTGTTTCGGTTGTGTAGCCTGATTCGGTTGTGTAGCCCGAGTTGGTTCTGCAGCCTGTTTCGGTTGTCTAGCCTGCTTTGGTGCAATCTTGGGAGCAGCCCTCCATTTGATGTCATATGCATATCGTTTTGTTCGATCAGCCAATGTTGAGTATGCTTCTGCGACAAACTGGAAAGCAGATTCTGCACCAGCATAACTGTTTTTATCAGGGTGAAGTGAGAGGACAAGCTTACGATATTGCTTCTTTATGGTCACCTCATCCGCTGTCCCTTCTACTTGGAGAATTCCATAAAAGTCCAACATTCCATTTACTTTTGCTTCTGCTGCACAATGTACTTCACAGACAGTTAACAGCTGGGGTATGTTCTCTATCTCTGGAAAAATCCTGTGCTTTAAGGGCAATCCTTTTAGCACCAACAAAATCTCTGTTTTCCAACTTCTTAACAGCAATTTCCCTGGCCTTCAAGGCCTCTTCTCTGTCGCACTCCATTGTATTGATCACCGAATTGGTTCCCAAAATCAATCGCTGTCAGACAAAAATGTTAGCCACACAATGCTTCCAGGTCCTTTCTTAAACCATCCAAAAAGTATATGAACACCTTGAATCAATTCACTTCTTTCGGTGCAGAAAGAGCCTAAGGCATGTGGGGTCCTGCAAGTTATGGAAGAATAAGAAAAGCAAATGTTATTAGCAAATAAATTGCACATCATGAACTCGAATGATTCGAATGCCATTTCACAAAGTAACAATAGTTTCATAGAGATTAGATAGACAACTGTGCAAGGATGACATTCAATCAAAGGCAATCATTGTGAAATATCATTTCCCAACAAAATGGAAATGTTGTAAGTAAAGGGAGTATATTGCAAACTCAAACATTTTGTCCCATTTATCACAACAAGCACTATCTATAACTGATAATGCTGTCTGATAGACAGAGGTCCCAAACTATGCTTTAGAGCATGTCCAAGAGCTTCTTAACAAAATACTTGCCAAATGGTTGGCCAAAATAAGTAGGGAGCAATTTTTTGCCTATCTCCAACAGTTGCCAAAAATTGGTTCCTAAAAATTCAAAACCAGGGAGAAACAGCATGCTGCAGAGAAATGTTAAGTATATGAAGGCCCATCTCATATAGGCCCATGAGGCTCTCTATATATAGTCATCCCCACTAATGAAGTTATTACCTTCTCAAGTCCCCAAGGTTAGTAACATGGTATCAAAACCATGGATTAGGGTTAGGATATCTAGTTCATCCACAATCTTTTCTTCCTTGGATCCATCCTCTGTTCGTGCGGCCATCGCCGCGCCTTCCGCCCATGTGACTTGTCGCCGACACTGCCCTCTGTTTGCCCGCTGTCTTCATTCGCAGAGAGGTTTGCCAGTCTGCCTGTCTGCAGGCATGTCCATGCACGACACTTCATCCGTGCGAGCCCTCCTCCATGCACTCGTACATGTGCCTGCGCGTGCCACTCTCCAAGTCTCTTCATCTGTTGTCTGTGACCTGTGTGTGTGCAGGGCTCACTTCCTCTGCTTCAAGCCAACAGTCTTGCTTGTGTTGACAATGCTGCTTGCTTGCTTCTGGTGCTCTGTTCTGCTGGGACTGCTCTGGCGCTGTTAAGTGGTGATTGTCTGTAGCCTTCTGCTGTTGGTACTTGCAGATATCACAATCAGGCCAATCTTATTGTTTTCCCTATGAAACTTGATGGTACATCTAACTATCGTGAGTGGGCATTTTCTGTCAAAACTATATTGACGGGCCACGGTCTTGCCTCTCATTTGACAGACTCTCCAGTTGACAAGTCAAAGGACAGTCTTGCAGTCATGGCTTGCACTAATGATGACGAACGTGTCATGAGTGACATTGTCACCAGCATGGAGCCCTCATTAATTATGAGCCTTGAGCACCATGAGTCTGCTAAGGATATGTGGGACTATTTGCAGGGACAATATATTCAGATTTTCAGAATAGTGGTGCTCTTCTGCTTACACTAATGCAAGGACTCATGAACTTCAGCCGAATGAGATGTCCATAGAGGAGTATTACACTGCCTTTGATCGTGTGGTAGACCTTTTCTCTCCATGGTTCCTAAGTGTGAACAAGGGTGTTCCGGCTGCTGTGCTAAAACGAGCAAGTTCATTGAGAAATTTCTCATATATCAGTTTTGCCATGGCTTGTGGTCTGATTTTGAGCCTATTCGTAAGCAGTTGCTAAATGCTCCCACCACTCCATCCAGTGCTGATGTATTGTCTGCCTTCATTGCTGAAGAGACACGTCTTAGTTCTTTGTCACCTTCTGTATCAGTACGTCAGTGTTCTCGTGGCCTCTCAAAAGACCACAGTGAAGGGCATCACCTCTGAGCCTTGTGAGCATTGCAAGAAGGCTTCTCATCATTCAGAAATTTGCTTTGTTCACTATCCAAATAAGTTGGCTGATTATCATGCACGTCGTGCAGCACGTGGTGATGGCACCAGTTCTACTCATATTTGTAGTTAGTTCATTTAACATGGATATATTGACATAATATGAGTTGATTTTGGCAACAAAAGGGCAGACACACTGACTGAGTGCTGAAAACTCCCACAAAATGTGGGGTCTGGGTCACAGTCACATGGATTGGGGTCAATGGAACGTTCCGCAACCCAGGGACATTGTCCCAAATCAAGGGTTGGAGTCAAGCAGGGTGGACATCCTGATTCTGCCTGGGTCACAGTTCGCTGTAGCAGCACATCATGGATCAAAAGTCCTGAGTTGAGGAACAGGGGAGAGGCGTGAAGGGGGAAATGGGAGAGAGCCAGCTTTGAAGAGGACTACCAGCAACGGCGGACAGGACCAAGCAACTTTGGGAGCAGCAATAGCTGACGCAAAATTAAGCATATGACAATGAAATTGGAAACACAAAAAAGGGAACACCATGGGCAATCAATTTCATTACAGTCTGGTTAGAGATGTTGGCTACCAGCAGTTGATTTGTGGCTAGCAGCACTGGGTTGCTTGAGAAGAGAAACAAGGAGCAAGGCACGAGGAAAAAGGCAGCTGTGTGCATGAACATGACTCCCGAGTCCCGTAGGGTTACATTAGGTGGGTCAGCAGCTCCATGGGCCAGCATACATTGCCCAATTTATTGTCTTCTTCGGTTTTTTTTTTTTTGGTATTACTTTGTATTGATCTTCTACAACTACTTATGTGTGGTATATCATGGCTCATCGATCGACCTGATTTGACCCAGATTGACTGCGGTTCCCATCCCTCATTCCAAACTACCCTGTTCGACCCAAGTTTTTAGATACCCTTGATCCCAACCTGCAACCCAGTCAACCCAAATTTCTTGAATTGCTTTTGGCAACTAACAAAATGTCAAACTGGTACCATGCTATTATAAGCCTAGCACTTCCAACAAAGTGTATGCATTCTATCATGCTGAGGAGATCACACCTAGATATGCACAAACATGAATACTATAGAAAATATTGGAACATGGCAATGACATTCAAAATGATGGCATGAGAGGTGTTTGGTTCATCACTTCGCCACAAGACTTATGGTCTCTTTGGTTTGGCTTCCAAACATACTTTGGCTACTGGAAAAGCCAAAAGCAAACCAAAGGGCCTAGCTTCCTCTCAAGTTCTACACAAAAAGCATCTTCTTCCTAGTACAATTTTCACAACAGCTAGGGACTTGCTTCTACCGGCTTTGAGATCAAAGTTTTCACAAAAATTACCCACCTGCCACTCATTATGTTATGTACCGGTTGGTTCTTTCTCACGATTCCTATCCCTATCCGCGCGAAGAGCCGCACCCAAGCTCCTCCCGGGTTCCAGGGCGGTGGCAGAGGCGCTCCTCCCGACAGTGGAGGCACTCCTCCCACACCTCTGCCCATCCGCGCGAAGAACCGAGTCCGCGCTCCTCTCAGGTTCTAGGGCGGCAGCGGCAGCGCAACGCTCGTCCCAGCAGCGGCGGCGGCGCTCCTCCCGCACCTCTCCAGTGAACACACGGACACCCCTCTCCGTCTTCCCCATGAGGGCCCCTACCTGGCAACCCCGTACCGGCCCCTCTCCATCAGGTTGCTTGCTTGGATCCTAGCGAGCCGCCCTATTCGGGTACCCCACGGTTGCCCCCTTCTTCGGCTTTGGGACGACGACCCTTCTCCGGCTTCCCTGCGGCAATCGCATACACCAGCTTCCCTTGAGCACAGGCCCAGGTTAACGGCATGCCGATGGAGGTTGCGACGGAGATGGGCAGCACGGCGGCCCCAAGCTCCGCCACCCCAATACTCCGCTTGGCGCCCATTTACCGGCGACCCCGAGCACCCTCGTCGGCCTCCTCTTCTTCCTCACGTGCGGATCCACGATGACCGAGGAAGAAACGCGTAGGAAAAAACGGAGAAATATGTATTCGGTGGTTGACATGTGGGGTCACTAATGACATGTCAGGCCCACTGACAGCAGCTTTTCCAAAAGCAAGTTCAACCAAACGACTTTTAGCTCTCTCACAGCTCACAACCCACAACAGATTTTCCACAGCCCACAACTCACAACAACTTTTTCAAAAGCCACACCTCAACCAAACATACCCTTAGGCAAGTTTGACTTGCTAAGCAACACCAAGGGGCTTAGCATGATATGGATCATTTTGCCATGAATTGCCCAAGTAGTGCTGCCCAAGGAAACAAAAACAACCTACAGAACTACTCTTTCCAGTTAAAAATACTTCACCATTTGTACAGGGTCGTAGTATATTTTTTGAATCTTTGAATATCAATGACTTTTAAATAAGACATTCCGACACCATACATGTGGATTCTCAATTCTCAATGGAAAAAAAATACTTTTACAATATCACCAAAATATTGGATTTTCTAAATATCCTAATAAAAAAGAGTGGTCAAAGCTACACATTAGGGACTGCATCATTGTCCAAGACATCAAGTATCTATGACTGGAGGGAGTCTAACACAATGGCAATATGATCAGGAAGTCTGCTGCCATATCCACATGATATTTAGCAGTCAAATTCATTTTATTGTACCCAACTATGTACAAGTTGGCAAGAAATGAAGCCCAACACAAGATTCCTATATTAGTCAACTACATTATACAGTGTGTAGCATACAAAGTTATAGTGACATGCTGTTCTCCATGAAATTTGAAAAATACCAAGCATTGATAAAAATGCCCCCACAGCAAGGGATGCGCATAATGCAGACATGGACATAAACGTTACTACTGCACAGGAACATGTATAGCATCACAAAGAAAAAGGACTGAATGCCAGTGTGAGAGAACTTACAGAAGCAGAGATCACTGTGTAGGTGGTTAGTGCAAACCATGCGCGTGCAGCGATTTGTCTTGATGAAGCAGCCTGAGAGACAAGTCAATCAAGAATCAGGGTACAATGGTAGGACTTTTACATATTGCAATTCAATGATATAAACAGACTTGATGGTTTCTTTCTTAACTTCTTTACCCACGAAGGGAATATGATAATATGAAAATGGTAACAATCAGCAGTGCCAGAAACAGACTATACCCAGAACTGCTGACATATGACTGACTAGAAGACTAACGTCAAAACCAATTTAAATTAAACCCTAATAGAAGTACTCCGTACTCTCCAATAATCAATATAATACAAGAGTGCCACGCCAACCAAAAAAGAAAAATAGAAAAAGGAAGAAAGGGGAATTCTATGGGCGTGTTTGGATGCCCAGCTTAAGTCCAGCCTGACTTAAGATTTTGGCCTAGCCTGAGATAGACAGGGTAGCTGTAGGCATGGGCAAGGTGTTTGCTTGCATGGCTTAGGCTGGCCGGTTCTGCAAAGCACACGTTTGGTTGCCTGACTTGCACTGAGTTTAATTACCTCCTCTCTCCAATGGTGAGGTTACCCTGAGAATTAAGCCATGTTCCGAGGACTAGAAGTCTAAGAAGAGAGGCTGCAATGGAGAAAAGTATGTGGAATTCCTGGAAAATTTGACAGTGTGCTAAATTTCTGAACAGAGGGTTCTTTGGGTAGCACTAAAGTGAATCGAGACCAGTCAGTTGTATATATTTCTAAAAAACCTGGGTTCTTTAGGTGTCAGAGAACCAATTCCCTCGCTGGAGTTCATAGAACAAATCAGGATTTTCAGTAGCTAGTAGTAAAAGAAAATGAAGAAAAAACACATGTACGACCCGATAATCTTTGCAAGAAGTTCGATTGTTCGAAATTAGTAGGCATCAAATAGCCAAATAGCCTTAAGTTAGGGTTTGGGTGCTCGGTTTCGCACAGCCGCAAGGGAAGAGAAGGGTCGGGAATACCTGGT